ATCACATGGCAATCATGTTTCTCACTTGAGAAAACCTAGATGGTAGAGACAATGATCAAGATCAGAATATAGGAGGTTCTGAATGTTACTTTTTAATTTATTGTGTTTAAGTTTCCCAAATGAAAATCAGGTAGAAGTCTCTGTTAGGCAGTTAGTAATGAGACTACAGAGCTTTGGAAATAGCAAATATAGATTTAAAGGTTGCCAGCATAAAGATAGTAGTTGAAATCAAAGAGAAACTTTAAAGTGAGATCATATAGAGTAGGATTTCTCAACCTTGGTGCTGTTGACATTTGGGGGTGAATGATTCTTTGTGTGTGGGTGCAGGGAGGAGGGGGGTGCTATCTTGCACATTCTAGGATGTTCAGCAGTACCATGGCCTCTATTTAACATAGGTGCCAATGGCACCTTTTAGTTGAGACAACCAAGAATGTCTCCAGCTAGTCCCAAACTTCCCCTGGGGGTCAAACTCATCTTTCCTTGAGAACCACAGGTATAGAGTGAAAATGGTAGAGAGGGAAACTTGGGCAAATCACACACACACACTGAGCCTGTTTCTGAACCCATTAATTGCAAGTAATTCTAGAAATAGCACACATAGTGAGCAATGGGGGAAGGTCTCCTTATTCAACAAATGTTGCTGGGATAACTGGCTAGCCATATGCAGAATGAAACTAGACCCCTTCCTTATACCATATAAAAAAGTCAACTCAAGATGGATTAAAGACTTGAATGTAAAACCCAAAACATAAAAATCCTGGAAGACAACCTAGGCAATACCATCTTGGACATAGGAACAGGCAAAGATTTCATGATGAAGATGCCAAAATCAATCACAACAAAAGCAAAAATTGACAAATGGCATCTAATTAACTTAAGAGCTTCTGCACAGCAAAAGAAACTATCAACAGAGTAAACAGAAAACCCACAGAGCAGAGAAAATTTTTGCAAACTATGTATCAAAGGTCTAATATCCAACATCTATAAGGAACTTAAACAAATTTACAAGAGAAAAACAAACAAAAATTAAAAAGTGGGCAAAGGACATGAACAGACACTTTTCTAGAGAAGACAGGCTGGACGCGGTGACTCACACCTGTAATCCCAGCACTTTGGGAGGCCAAGGTGGGGAGATTACTTGAGATCAGGAGTTCAAGACCAACCTGGCCAACATGATGAAACCCCATCTCTGCTAAAAATACAAAAATTAGCCAGGTTTGATGGCACTCGCCTATAGTCTCGGCTACTCAGGAGCCTGAGGCACAAGAATCCCTTGAACCCAGGAGACAGAGGTTGCAGCCAGCCGAGATCCCACCATTGCACCCCAGCGTGGGTGACAGAATGACACTCCGTCTCAAAATAAATAAATAAACATGAAGTTAAAAAAATAAAGACATACATGTGGCCAAATATTATGTATATGAAAAAAACTCAATATCACTGATCATTAGAGAAATGCAAATCAAAACCACAATGAGATATCATCTCACACCAGTCAGAATGGCTATTAAAAAGTCAAAAAATGGCTGGGCACAGTGGCTCCACCTGTAATCCCAGCACTTTAGGAGGCCGAGGTGGGCGATCACCTGAGGTCAGCCTGGCCAACATGGTGAAACCCCATCTCTACTAAAAATACAAAAAAAATTAATCAGGCATGGTGGTGGGCACCTGTAATCCCAGCTACTTGGTAGACTGAGGCAGGATAATTGCTTGAACCCGGGAGTTGGAGGTTGCAATGAGCCAAGACTGAGCCAATGCACTCCATCCTGGGAAACAAGAATGAAACTCTGTCTCAAAAACAAATAAATAAATAAACAGTCAAAAAATAAAAGATGCTGGCCAGGTTGTGGAGAAATAAGAACCCTTATACACTTATACCCTTATACCCTTATACACTTTTGAGGGGAGTGTAAATTAGTTCAGTCATTGTGGAAAGCAATGTAGCAATTCCTCAAAAAGCTAAAAACAGAACTACCTTTCAACCCAGCAATCCCATTACTGGGTATATACCCAGAGGAATATAAGTCATTCTACCATAAAGACGCATGCACTTGTATGTTTGTTGCAGCTCTATTCACAATAGTGAAGACATGGAATCAACCTAAATGCTCATGAATGACCGATTGGATTTAAAGACTGTGGTACATATACACCATGGAATATTATGCAATCATAAAAAAAAGAGATGTCTTTCATGGGAACCTGGATGAAGCTGGAGGCCATTATCCTTATCAACTAATGCAGGAACAGAAAACCAAATACCACATGTTCTCACTTGTAAGTAGGAGCTGCATAATGAGAACTCATGAACACAAAGAAGGAAACAATAGACACTGGGACCTACTTGAGGGTGGAGGGTGGGAGGAAGGAGAGGGGCAGAAAAAATAACTATTGGGTACTAGCCTTAGTAGCTGGGTGATAATCTGTACAACAAACCCCAGTGACACAAGCTTACTTACATTACAAACCTTCACATGTACCATCAAACCTAAAATAAAAGTTAAATATAAAAGAAAATGTGATATATATACACAACGGAATACCGTTCAGCCACAAAAAAACAGTGAAATTCTGCCAATTGCAGCAACACGGAGGACATGATGTTAAATAAAATAAGAGAAGCACAGAATGATAAATACCACATGTTCTCACTCATGAGGGAGCTAAGAAAAGGTAGAGTACAATCGTGGGTGTTAGAGGCGGGGAAGGGTGGCAGGGCGGGGTGGATGGGGAGATGCTGATTAACAATTGCGGAATCATCGTTGGATAGGAGGAATGAGTTCAGGAGTTCTGCAGCATCGCAGGGCGGATATGCTTAACCAGAATTTAGTGTACATTTTGAAAAAGCTAGAAAAGAGGATTTTTAATTTTCACAACACAAAGAAATGATCCATGTTTGAAGTGATGGATGTGCTAATTCCCCTGAATTCATTATTATATGTGGTATACACATATGGAAATACTACTCTGCATCCCACAAATATGTACAATCATTATGTGTCAACTAAAAATTAAAGAAAAAAGTGGAAACAACCCAAATGTCTATCAACTGATGAAAGATAAAATGTGTTATATCCACACTATTATTGGGTAATATGAAAAAGTACTGATGCATGCTACTATATGGATGAAATTTGAAAACATTATCCTAAGCAAAAGACAGACCCAAAAGGCCACAGCTATATGATTCTGTCTATATCAAAAGTCCACAATAGGCAAATACATAGAAACAGAAAGTAGATTAGCGGTTGCCCAGGAAGGGCTGAGGGTTGGACAGGCATCAGGAATGACTGCTAATGGAAACGGCTTTTATTCTGGGGGTGATGAAAATGTTCTGGAATTAGATTGTAGTGGTAGTTACACCACAAATATACTAAAAACTATGGAATTATACACTTTAAATTGGTGAGTTTTATGGTATGTGAATTATATCTCAATTAAAATGTTTTTAAAAGTTGAAAATATAAAAGAAACAGCACAGATATCGTTGTGAAAGGCATTCTGAAGCAGCCAAGTGCTAAGCAAATGGTACTCATCACTGCTAGCCAAAGTTTAAAAATTTGTGTATGAAACTGGTGAAATGGTGGGATTTTTCAGATCCCTTCTAATTATTGGTGTAATACAAAAGGTATTCATCCATCTCCACTGGTGTCAGCAGTCACTCCTCACATCACAGGCAAATTCTCAATTTCCCAGATGACAAAACCAAAAATCCCAAGCAGTTTTACAGGAGGACCCTCTGGCTGTTTTATGAAGTACAAGTCCCACTCGTATTCTGATTTCTCTGTTCTTTCTGCTCCTCCTTTAGCCCCAAAGGGAGAAAACTGATGCTAATAACAAACAACCCATTCGTGGCTATTCATGAATCTTGGTTGTTACAATCACGTGAGACTTGAGGTATCATATATTTTGGAGTTACTTGGAAACATTTTTTAAAAGACAAACAAAAGCAAAGTCTGAACCCTGGGTCCTGTTTTCAGCAGCAGTAAATAATTCCCCGTATTCTCTATACTCTCTTCTGCACCGGGCCCTTGACTCGTATAGTCTAACCACATCTCAAAGGAGGTGCCTAAGCATTGAGTGATTCCTGTAAATCAAGTGAACTTGCTTTAGAAAATGGCATAATCTCTTTCTAGAAACTATTCCTCACAGCCCTTTGGGGAATAATCCATTCATGAAACTGAAATATTGTTGGGCTTATTTTGTATCTGTTGCTCCTCTTGGCTGTATCTGAGAGTTGGCTCTTGCTCTTGCTCTCTCTTTCTCCCTCCTCTCTCTCTCTCTTTCTCTCCCCCGCCCCCCCTTTCTCTCCTCTCTATTTTTCTCCCTCCTCTTCCCAACCAAACGATCTTGAGAAGCAAAGATTTATTGCCTGGAACCGAGAGCCACTGCTCACTCAGCCAACAAAATCTGGTCTCCAGTTAAGGCTGAGGGCAACTGGCTGTGAGTGCCTCAACCTGCTGAACCTGCAAAAGTCCCCACCTCCCACACTACAGCCTGCTCATGGAAAATTCCTGGACACAGAAGGGTCAGCCCACGGACAAGGAGTCAGCCAACCATGCTCCCCTGGGCACAAGGACCTTGGCACCTTTCCAACCACTGTCATTAAAAGTGGGGGCTTTTATGTTAGTTTTTCTTAAGTTCACGTTTCGGGCAACTCTTTATTATGATGGTGATTATTTTTTCTCCAAGGCCAGGCCTCCACCCTCACAACTTTGGTGGAATGTGTTAATAATTTGCTCTAGGGAGATGAAAGCCTCTTTGATACAAGGAGAATAAACACATGGAATGCTGCTCAAAGGTCTAATTTTCACAATAGGAGTGTGGTTTTCTGGACTGAGAGTCGAATGGGGAGAGCAGTCTCATTCCTGAGTCACTTTCCACCCTGGTGTCCCTCCTCTGCCTCTGCAGCTCCTCCTCACTTGCCCTGCTGAGGGCAATGCCTGCCTCTCCTCTGGGTCGCTCCAGACAGCTGGTGGCCAAGAAAGGCCGTCACTCACCATCGTGGTGAACACTGAAGTCCTGAAACTGACCCGAAGGGCATTTTCCTTCTGGATGGTGTTGCTTTGTGTGGGCTGAGGATCTTTATAGGTGCCAGGCAAAGACCTGCTTGGTGAAACCAGAACATATTAAAGCAGAGAAGACATCATTGAATCCAACCTCTTCCTTTTATAGATGAGGTTCCAGAAGGTTTTCCAAATCCCAGCGCAGCCTGTTCTCAAGCCCCTGTGCTGCCATATTCTCCTGGTTCCCAAGAATTGAAAGAAGTAAAACTCAGAAATGAAAGAAACCTGTTTTCAGAATTGCTTTAATTTTCTTTCTGCACCTACTCTCATTTTGGGGTGCCTCTCCCTACCAGACTCCATTCTTAGTCCCCTTTGCACTTGAGGCTTGTTCAAGCTTCATTTTAATATTCATTCATTGATAGATTTGGTTACTTCAGAAGAACTGGTTTGGGGGCAATTCATGGTCTGGTTTGGTAGAAGAGGCCCAGTTAGGGTGTCCAAAGATCAAGGTCCAGCGCCCGTCAATTAGACTTGACCCCTGAAGCTGCTTCTCCCTCCCTCTGCGCTACCTGCCCAAACCAAAAAATGGGACTAAAACCTGCTCTACTCAAGTTCTGGAATGGTAGAGACATAAGTAAACAATAGATACTAAAGCCATTACTTTTGTAAGTGGATGAGAAAGAGTCCTACATATTTGAAATGGTATAGTTTTCATCTAATAATCTTATGGATTTGTAAACAATGGATAAATATTCCTACTTACAGTGGCTATTCTATTAACATAGACTCGTACTTACTTACTTCTACTTTAAACTTCTTTCATGCAACATAAATTCAAGGGCTTTGTTTGCATTATCATAATTTTCTCTGTATGCATTTGCAAGATTCTTTTTTGTGAGGTACCCAAATCTTCACTTTCAGGCATGTCATCTAAAGATCATTCCATCATTTATTTTGCAAAACTTGAAATGTGACAGTAATGTTCTTTTCATCCAAATTGTGTAGCTTTGATCTTCATTATATCAGCATTCAAAATACATAGATTTTTTTCTATCATCAAAGTCATAAAACATGTTTTGGCCCAGACACCTCAAGAGATGGAGATTGGTTCCTAGGTCAGATTCCTCCTTTGCAACAATGTGTCTGAGTAGCCCCAGGCCACATTCCTCAGACACCTCCTCCTCCTCCTCAGCTCCTCTTCTCATCCACCTGCCTCCACTCAGTACATACAGTCTTTCTAGAACACACAGTTCAAAGATTACTTGAGAAAAGTCCTTCTTATTGGTAAATTGTCTAATTCCTTCAGATTTCATTTCATCTCGAAAATGGCATTATTTGTGTTTCTAAACTGACACTCTTTCCAAAATTGAAATGTCCTTGAGAAAAACTAGCAGTATTTTTAATCCACTGGGAATTAGTGGCATCTTGCCCTTTAATACTTGGCAGTTATGACAGTTGGAAACTTCTCCCGGAAACTTCTTACTGAAATCAGCTCCTTGGTCATTTATGTTCAACGAATTATTAATATTCTTAGATTCTACTGTAAAATCATACTCTGGCTGCATGTCCTTTGGGAGGAAGCTTCCTTCCCCAGTTATCCCCATAGAGAGATGCCCCACAACATGCTCTTCTGGGAAGGCACCATCCGGTCTGCATTTGGATGTCTAAAAAGAACACCCTAAAGACAGACTGGTGACCTCTTCTAGCTGCAGGATCTCCATTCAGGTTCTGGGAAAACCAGTCTTCTTCTTTTTTTTTTTTTTTTTTTTTTTTTGTGTGTGTGTGTGTGTGTGTGTGTGTGTGTGTGTGTGTCATCCCTACCTCTAACTGTCCACTCCAGTTTGATGAGCATCAAACTATGAATTAGCATGTGATTAGTTAGTGCTTTTCCGCAGAAACAGAGAAATCACACTGACCTCAAAGGAGGCTGTGTGAATTTATTCTTGCTTTGTATCTTGCTGAAAAGAATCAAAGCATTCTGTAAAATGTTAACACGGCTCAGCATTTGGGATTTACAACTGTTTACCCAGCACTGTTGCTGCCACTGCTAATATGTCTTGTCACTTGCCCAAGTCTTGCCCTTGTCTTGCTTTCCTCTGACCCCATACAATATGGGAACATAAATATGATTTCTCTAATAATGGTTCCTTTGTGTTTATATCATTACTTTTCACCCAGAGATACTTAAGTGCACAAACTTGCAAAGCCAGGGGCTCAATTACACCAGTAACTCAGTCCTGCTGGCTTCTGGAACATGGTATCACAGGCTAGTAAATTCACTGATAGCAGAATATATTTTCCACATGTAGCATTGCAAGAGTTAAGTGATTGGTCTGAGACCAGGAAGGTAGTAAAATGTGGCAGAATTCAACCTGTTTCACAACAGGCTCTGTCTGTGAAGTTACCTCTGGATGTCATCCCCTGTTAAGCACCAGATAAAATAGTTGTTGATACTATTAATTGATAACTGACTGGGACTTTCCACTTCAAGGAAATGGCAAAACAATAAGCATTCCAATGAGCTGTGTGAGCTGTATTTTCTCCTGAGTCAAATCAACTCTAGGGTTATCCCTTTGAGACAAAGTGCCTTCACCTGTTCAATATGCATTTATTAAATATCTGCTATTTGTCATTCTGCAGGGACTTATATGTAGCAAAACAAAATTACCTCCATGTAAGAAACTGGTTTTGTCACTGGAAAGAGAAGATATACATATATGTAAATAATAAATAATAGTTCAGGCAGTATACAATTAAATGCCAAAAGTAATGATTCACATAATGAGTGTTGTAGGGTTCCCAAGAAAGGGAAATGAGTGGGAGCTGAAAAGGTCTGGGAAGATTCATGGAAGAGGGAACTAGGATCTGGGATTTAAAGAATGATTAAGGCCTGCACAGTGAGCTGGGGAACAAGATGGGCATGCTAGCCAGGAAGCGCTACCGTACATGGCATGTCTTTAAAATAGGTTAACAAATTTGGAAAACTTAAGCTGACGAAGGCAAAAGAAACCTGTAAAACTGAGAATCAAAAGCAAAACCCTTTGCCTTGGTAATAGGAAAAGCTAAAGCTGTCAGTGTTTGTCTGGAAACACCGGGGTTCTGAGAGTTCAGACATTTTTCTAAATGTATTTTAGTGTATTTCTACTTCATCCCAGGTGAGTGATTTGGCCAAACCAAGTGAAGAGCATTAGTGGTTTTGCTGTCTCTTTGCTGGATTGCATAGATTTTGAATTGATTATCCAATTTGAAATTTGTAAAACATTCCCAGAGAGATGCCTTATTAAAGTACTGGAAAACCTTTGGTAAAGAGAAGGTAGTGTCTAATGACACTTTTCTTTATCAAAAACTTTATACCTATAGATGGATAAAAATAAGACAGGCAGTAGAGAGAAGTGCTTCAGGATATTAGATAAGAAAATTGACACTTAACCAACTGATATAAAGATAACTATACCAGAAAATATTAAAATATACCGTCATGGATCTTGAAGCAGAGAGGAAGGAGGGGAGACGCTGGCTTGCAGTAGGCCCTGAGAAGATGAGGTGATGAAGGTTTCTCCCGTATCCTCCACCAGTGGCTCTGAGCCACAAGAACATAGAACCTAGAGAACAGAAAGCCCAAACACTGAACTTCAGAGATACCAGAAAGTTCTCTAAAAGTGTCATCTTCAAAAGAAGCTTGAAGATAGCATGGTGGAATGGAAAAAGAAAAAAAAAAAACATGCATAGGCTTTGGAACTATTAATACATGGCCTTGAATCTTGGCTTAAATACATACTTCTTCAGTGAGCCTCAGTTCCCTCATCTTTAAAATGGGGATAATATTAGTATGGTTGTTGCAAAGAATGAATATGATCGTGTAAAGCATTTAGTAGAGAATATTGAGTACTTAATGTAAGTAAGCTTAGCAGATGCTTGCTGCGAGTAATGATGGGGATGGTGATGGTGGTGGAGAGTGTGCCTGACCGTCCTTTTGCAAATCACATTTTGGGAGGTGGGTGGCTGCGTTCAGAAAGCATGGGTTAAGGTCCTCTAGTTTGACTCTGTCATGAGGAACCAGTGAGAAGTGAGATATTTAATGCTAAAATGTCTGATATAATTGCCAAATACATGTATACTTTGGGATGTTTCCTGCAATTTCATTTTAGTGGGACTCGTGTGTGACTGGGTATGTTCCCAATGAAACTATATTTTATTCCTTTCCCCACCAGTTGTACCACATCTCATACACACACACACACACACACACACACACACACACACACACATATACACTTTGCCATGCATGAAACAAGAAGCAGATGATGCAAAATCCACTCATGCTACAGTCCATAAGCACAGCTAGATAGAATGTTAAGATGTGGCTTCTTTTCCTATAACTAATCTGACAAGATAACTCATTTCTGTTGCACACCTTAAAAAAATTTAACATTTAGCCCTATCTGATTTCAGACCTAGCCTTAACTTGTCATTTAAACTATGCCTTTTAGTAACAGTTATTCCTGGGCACAAATTCTCAGCCTTCCAGAAGGCTTCCTCTTTCCTTTCCTGTTCCCACCACTCTCCCTCCCCATCTGTTTTTCCCCCTAAGGTGGTGAATGGAAAAGAGGGAGAGGAGAAGGTGGTTGTGGCTTAAGGTTTCCATGACCTCCTGGGGGTGCAGGGGGAGTCCTCTGGCTGCTGGAATCTATGGCACAGGGATCCTTGCCCAACTGGGGAACTGTGGTGCTAGTGAACTGGTGATCTGGTCTCTCCCTCAGGCTGACCAGGGCCTGGTGGAGACCCAGAGATGCATGAGTACTACTCTACTCTAGATAGGGTGAAGCCTATTACCTACCTTTCCACATAGCCTTACTGTCCTGAGAAGCATGAGGCTTCTCTACTGTATGGGGAGAACCAATAGGGTCTTCAGTCTTGGCCTTTGGTTTCTTTTTTTTTTTAACTTTTTTTTGAAACGGAGTCTAGGTCTGTCGCCCAGGCTGGAGTGCAGTGGTGCAATCTCAGCTCACTGCAAGCTCCGCCTCCCAGGTTCACGCCATTCTCCTGCCTCAGCCTCCCAAGTAGCTGGGACTACAGGAGCCCGCCCCCACGCCCGGCTAATTTTTTTTTTTTTTTTTTGTATTTTTAGTAGAGACGGAGTTTCACCGTGTTAGCCAGGATGGTCTCGATCTCCTGACCTCGTGATCCGCCCACCTTGGCCTCCCAAAGTGCTGGGATTACAGGCATGAGCCACCGCACCCGGCTGGCCTTTGGTTTCTTGAAGGAGAGATTTAAATTTGCTCTTGAAAATCCTCTCTCAGAACAATAGCCTAATAAATAGGCCCAATATTGAACACCAGAAGCTGAATGTTATCTGGGCTTTTACAATTGACAAATTCCAATTTTTTTTTGTCCAACCCCTCCCATCTCCCCACTCCCCAAGCTCCACCCACATACGGACATGCATACTTACACCACTTGAGCCTGCCTGTATCCAAAGGGAGAAGGTAACAAAGTCTGAAAGCAAGAAAATAGCACGTTCATATTTTCCAGTTTTAAATTACACATGAAAGAAAAGTTAACAAGCCTCCTTCAATTAACCAATTCAGCCCCAGTGATATTTCTGAGATGATGTGAAAACTTGCTCTACATAGTCATCCAAAATACCTATGTGTTTTCTCTAACATGAAAGCAACATAGGAAATTATGCAAACCACTTGGAAAGAATGTGTTCCTTCTGCAGAATAGTCCCTTTCCTTTCCAGATCTAGCTTTTACTTGTAGGCCCCTGTTTATGTTTTAAAATGCCCTCACTATTAGCAGCACAATAGCCACCAAGACTTATTTTTAGAAAGAACACCACCACCCGGTATTCCAAGACTCTGCTTTACCAAGGGAGCCTTATCTGTCACATTTCATCTGTTCATGTTCTACAATAAACACCTGATTCATAGCCCTTTGGCAATTACTGTTCTAAAGATGACCACATGGAAAATTTGAATGATTAGTAAATGATTCTCTGAGATAAATAGGCCCCAGCATAAAAAACAATCCAGCCTCAGCCGATTTCTATATACTGAACTGTGTACCCCCAAAATTCATAAACTGAAGCCCTACATCCCAGTGTGACTGTATTCAGAGATAGGGCTTTTAGAAGGTGATTAAGACTGACTGAAGTTGTAAGAGTAGGTTCTAATCTGATAGGACTGGTGGCCTTATAAGAAGAGGAAGAGAGAGAAAGATCTCTACATACATGTATTAAGGAAAGGCCACGTGAGGACATAATGAGAAGGTGGTTGTCTGCAAGCCCTCTACAGAAACCAAATTGGCCAGCACCCTGATCTTAGGCTTTTCAGCCTCCAGAGCTGTGAGAAACCCAGTCTATTGTATATAGTTATGGTAGCCTGCACTGTCTAACACACCAACCAAGATGAATAGCAACACTACTGGGTAAGACAGCTTTGCTCAACGCCACCTTCAAAGGCAGTTTGAACATCTGAGTAGCATTGTGTGTGTGTGCATGTGTGCATGTTTGCGTGATGTGTGTGTAGAGAAGAGATTATATTTTACTCTGAAGTATGCCCCTAGATTTGTGAACATGTTCACTGAAAGTAAGCTTTCAGTGGTTTCCACATGTTTATTTTAGTTGATTGAAAGAATAGAGCAGTTTCTTGAATAAAGCGGAGGAATATGTCCTAGCCTAGTATCAGATGTTGCTCACAGCTGTCTCACAAATAATCTCTATGAATTTTGAAAACTTTGTGTTAAAAAATAAAGACTACCGTGAATTACTTGTGCATAAGATGTTAATAGCAGAGAGAATCACTTACTTATTTTAAAAAATCGATGGCAGCCGGATACCGTGGCTCACACCTGTAATCCCAGAACTTTGGTAAGCTGAGGCGGGCAGATCACGAGACCAGGAGCTCAAGACTAGCATGGTGAAACCCTGTCTCTGCTAAAAATACAAAAAATTAGCTGGGCATGGTAGTGCACACTTGTAGTCCCAGCTACTCTGGAGGCTGAGGCAGGAGAATTGCTTGAACCTGGCAGGCAGAGGCTGCAGCGAGCCAAGATCACGCTACTGCACTCCAGGCTGGGCAACAGAGCGATACTCTATCTCAAAAAAAAAAAAAAAGGAGATACCAATTGGGACAGTTAGAAATGGAATTCCCCCTTTCTTGTCTTTAGTTTGAAAAAACATAAGCATATATACTGTTGTACATTTACAGGGAACTAATCTCTTTAGCTGCTTTACCTTGAGTAAGCCTCATAACAATCTGAGGAGGCAAATATTTTGCTGCCTCTGCCCCTTTCTAATCGTGTGACCTTGAGCAAGTTCCTTCAGCTCTCAGTCACTCAGCTTCCACTCCTATAAAATGGGGACAATAGTACTACCCATATCTTGGTTTGTTGGAAAGGTAAAATGAGATAATATATGTAAAATCTACAGATCAATGTCTGGTACAAAGTAGAAGCTCAATCAATGCTAGACATGTTGGCATTATCATTGCTGCTTTTTTTTGTAATTGTTATTTTATAGACCTGAAAGCTAAGTCTCAGAGCACTCAAGGATCTTGCTGAAAGTTGCACAGCTAATAAGTGACAGATCTATAATTCCACTCCAGATCCATCTGATACCAAAGTTGATGCTTTTAAATCACCCACCCCTGTATCTTGTCTCCCAGCCATCTATACACGGGCACCATGTGCTTACAAACACAGCCCTCAAAGGAAGAGTCCTTTCTTATTAGTGAAGAGTTGGACCATTTACCCTTTCTGTATGTGAGGGAGTGACTCAGAAATGACTGAGTGATCCTAACCTTTTTTTGTCTCACTTACAGCCTTCCTTCTCCTCACTCCACCTCCTGAATGTTGATAAATCAAAGAAATGTCAACAAAATGAAAAGACTAAATAAACATTTTCTGTAAGGATCATATGAAAGGGGAATTTTCTTTTTCATCAAATATTTGATAACATCTTGGGCTTTTTGATGTTCCTTTCTCATACTTGGGACTGAATGAAAGTGTATGAGTCATAGACATGACCAAGGGAGGAAAAGCAAATGAGTCACTTGCCTGTTTGGACCTTCCGGCCTGGATGCTCCCTGGGATCAGCATCCCCAGAGGGCTGGTCTGGCCATCCCACCTGCTGCAGCTGCCGACTGAATGGGAAAGGGATTTCTTCAGGAGACGCTGGGGCTCCTAGAAAACAAGTGAGTCAGGGAAAGTGAAAAACATCGGAGCCTCAAGGAGTTGCCCTGTAACTCTTCCAAAAACCATTTTCTGCTATCAGTTTAGAGGTTTCTTGTCCATATTTCATCACTTTCCACTCCTGGTTGTACTCCTGCTACAAGCTAATCACTCGTTAAATGCAGACACACACTTCAAAGACTTGCCATCCATCGTCCTCTCCTCCCCATTAATGCGAGTTACAAGTGCTTAGACTCATGCATCCTTCGACAGATAAATCTCTGTTTCCTTTACTGTTTTTATTGCTCTATTGGAATCTGTCCAGCCTGTATCCTTCTGGTACCAAAGTGCCCCTGGTTGAAGCCCATGCTGCTGGACTTAGTCTCTGGGAGTTGGAGGGAGAAGAGTTGCAGTGTCCCTCAGCCCACTGTGCTACAGACCTTTTAAAACTTCCTCTCAGTCAGCTAGTCAGTGAATCACATTTAAAACCCAAGCTCACTGTCCACTGCCCTTCAATGGGTCTCTCTCTCAGAGTGCCATTTCTCTATGTTCACTCTGTTTTTCTCAGTGAGGACTTTGGTGCCTGGAAGCCATGAGTTTGAATTGCTACATCCTCTATTATTTTGCTTATAGACTTTGCCAAATTTATCGATCCATCTGAGCCTCAGTTTCCCCATCTTGGCAAGGAGATAATAATTCCCATTTCCGGGTGTTCAGTGAGGATTTGGGGTTGGGTAAGTCAGCCAGGAGCATTCAGGTACTCTTCAATCGGCCTCTCTCAGCCCATATGATCCAATGACTTATTTTTCCCCAGGGGCAATCCCCTTACCCCCCCCCACCAAAAGTGATTTTGTGACGATTTTCCATTCATTTTTTTTCTCACAGGAGATCTCTCTATATTTTTTCCTCCATCTTTGCCTGGATTATAATTCTGCTGATAGCCAATTCTGAATCATCAGCAAATTATGTCAGCAGTTTATTCCCCTCACCCAAACACACAATACGAATGTAAAACAAAAGTTCTTCTGTAGCTTGTCTCACAAATGTGCTTAAAACTTCTCTCCACAGAATTTATGTCACTCGTATATGTAGTTATGCACTGCATAATGACATTTTGGTCACTGACAGACCGATTATATGATGGTGATCCCATAAGATATTAACACTGTATTTTAACCTTTTCTATGTTTAGGTATGTCCAGATACACAAATGCCATTTGTGTACTATTGTGTTTCAATTACCAACAGTTTTCAGTACAGTAAAATGCTGTGCAGTTTTGTAGTCTAGGAGCAATATGCAATACCATATAGCTTTGGTATTGATATATAGTAGGCTATACTATCTAGGTTTGTGTTGCACTGTATGAGATTCACATAACAACAAAATTGCCTAATGATGCATTTCTCAGAACGTATGCCCGTAGTTAAGCAAGACATGACTATAAATCCAAACATGTAAACTGAAAAGTGCTAGAAAGGCTGCCATCATGAGCACCAGTAGTTTTACCAAAAACATTAAAATACCCTCAGGTGATTTTAAAAAATAACACTTCACGCTCTGCTCGTCTTTTTAAAAAAGCAAATGAAAAAGATAAAGCTGTCAATACAATATACTTTCATTTTATAAGTGTTAATTGCCCTTAGGTGTGTTCACATTTATTTTCTTTGCCTTTCTAGGGTGTTAAGAGGTATTTTCTTTACAAATAGTTTGTTCACTGTAAGTTTGATCATCTATTTCCTTCTTTTTAGAATAGCATACAAACTTCTAACACCAAACTCTTAGACATTTATAGACAGTGTTCTCCAACAAAACAAAACGATTAAATCTGCCATTTAAATTCAGCCAACCATTCCTCCCTCCACCTTCAGTATAACCTGATTTTCCAAATTTCAGTTGTGGAACAGTTTCAAATCCAACTAAAAGAACCACAAGGGAACTATATTGGGATGTATTTTTTATTTAAGTTGATTATTTTAATAGCCATGCGAAATCCACCTGACCCCATTCCCCAAATAGCCAATGGTCAACAACAATGAAGTAGAGTACGTCTCCATTAACTGTTCTGCTGTCAACCTAAGGATCATTCTGTTTGCTTAAGTTCTTTGTCCATAAAAAGGATCTTAAAATTACAAGCCCAGCAAACATTATTAATCCTAAGAAGAAAAAAGAAAAATTTTCACATTCAACAGTATTTCTGATAGATTATCATTTTAGTTCAGCATATAAATTATGACTAAGCAAACAATTAGACTAGAAGTAAAACATCTCAATTCATTCATTGGACATTAGCCATTACTTCTACAGAAAAAGAGAGTTTCAGGGTTGGCAAGCAGTTTCCACTATGATCTAAAACATAATCTAAGAATTACAAACTGAATCAACCCATAGCAGTCAATTGTTGCTATTGACATATTATTGACAAGATCTAAAATATAAAAAAGAAAAACGCCTGTAATCCCAGCACTTTGGGAGGCCGAGGGGGGCAGATCACAAGGTCAGGAGATAGAGACGATCCTGGCTAACACGGAGAAACCCCGTCTCTACTAAAAATACCAAAAATTAGCCAGGTGTGGTGGCAGGCACCTGTAGTCCCAGCTACTCAGGAGACTGAGGCAGGAGAATTGCTTGAACCCGGTAGGCAGAGGTTGCAGTGAGCAGAGATCACGCCACTACACTTCAGTCTGTTAGACAGAGCGAGACTCTGTCCAAAAAAAAAAAAAAAAAAAAGAATAAATCATCATGCAGACCAGAGAATGCAAGTGTAAGCACCTCCAAAGGCCAGGCAGATGAGTTACTGAAACGGGCTTCAGGGTGTAGGGGCCAGGTGAAGCTTCCCTTCTACCCTCTGAAGGTTTGCTGAAAATGAACCAACAATAAACAGATTAATAAGAGAAAAGGCATACTGCTTATTTAACATGCATAGCACATGGAAATTGCAGAATGATTGCTCAATAACCCAGTGAGGTCTAGATGCTTATTTGCCCTTCTTCCTAGGGGAAAAAGAGATGGGGCGTAGCAATTTTAAGGCATAGTAAATGGTTTTTTGAGGGGGAGTATTAATGTACCTGGGAGACAGAAATTAACTTGTAAGTGATTCTCTTTGTAATTTGAATGAGCCAGAGGGGCAGACATTATCTTGTGAAAAAGTCTCTCCAAGTGTGATTGCATTTCTCATTCTTCTTTTCTGGATTTTAGGGAGGGGATGGAAGGCAACTGTGTTTCCTTTGGCAAGTCTGGTCTTAAAGTAGATAAGGGAATATCAGAGTAAAGCCTCATCCTGTGCTTTGGGAGAGACAGAAGGCTGAGAGACGGGGCAGGGTTGAGGGAGAGGGAAGAGGATCATAGAGACCTTGAGGCTACGCCTTTTGAAACCGCCTTTGCAAAGATTATGACAGTGAGAGAAGTCCAGCATGGCTGGCCCAATCTACTCCCAGGCTGGCTGTCCTCACTCATTCCTGGGCATAGGCCAAGCTAACCATGGGAGAAATTTAGTTGATAGTTTAACTTTGAAGCAAGGATGATAATACTCCCTCTCTTAAACTACGTCTTTGTTTGGGGGCTGAAACCGCCTTTGTAAAACTAATGAAAGGCTACAAGATTAGGATTATGGGAGAGACCCAAATTCTGCTAAAATGTATGCACAGTTTCTATAATCTCTTACTATTCAGGAGTCATATGGCTAGAGGTCACAAGATCTGTGGCTTTCCCAGTTGCTCCTATAGAACACTAATATAGAACCTAAGATTGGTCTTTTGAGATGTTTTATAGACTGTTGCATTCTGGCAATTGAAAGGACCCTACCCAGACTCGTGACTCATCATTCAACTGGTCCCATAACCCCTGCACCCACCCAGAGGCAGATTCAATGCACAGGATCATTTTCCACACGCTTATGATTGCATCCTCAGTCAGTAGCACCCATTCCCTAGTCCCCTGCCCACCAAATTGACCATAAAAACCCTACCCTCTGAGCCTTTGGGGAGATTGATTCGAGTGATAACTCTAGTTCTCCTGCATGGCCAGCCTTGCATTAATTAAACTGTTTCTTTACTGCAATACCATGGTCTCAGTGCATTGGTTTCGCCTGTGCAGCAGACAGGAAGAACCCATCAAGTGATTACACTTTAGTTCAGCATATCAGAGCACCATATTTCAGGGTATCATTTTCTGATCCCCTACAAGGGTGAACTGGAGAGTGTAGACCTAAGCTAAGGGGCAGCTGCTACTTGATTTCAGTCATTTCATGACAAATGAAAATGCAGGCCCATAAGATTTTCTGATTTGTTGAGAGGAACAAAAAATACTAGATTTTCTTTTCTTTTTTAAGTGTGAAATCTTCCCATATTAAAGTTTTTGAACTAAATTGACTTTTTAAACCACTTGATGCAGACCAAAAGGAAAAACATCTGGGGACAACATTTAGCTCTCCTGCTGCTAATATGTGACCTTTAATTTAGATTATATGACAGAGACTAGATGAATACTCATCAAACCTGTATCCTGTTGTTTCTGAGCACACAGATAAATTATATTTCCCAGTCTCCCTTGCAGTTAGACCAGAAGAATATGGGTAGGAACAATGGACACTGCTGCCAAGCCTGATCCTCCACTCCCTCCCTCTCCCCTCCTCTCTGCTAGCCAGATACAGGGGAAGTAGGAGGACTCCAGGGTACTGGAAGGTGACAAAACCTCAAGGTGTAAGAAGCCTGAATGACTATAGAGGAGAACTGCCCTGCCCACCCACCACAGCAGAGACCTGCACTGCACTGTGATGAGAGAAAGAAACTTTTTCTAAAGCCCCAAGATTTGGAGGTTATTTGCTACAACTGCTAGCAGAAACTGATTAATACAGGTTGTTAGGAATTTCTGCTTTTTATGTGTCAATGATTATGTTGTTCAGCCCTTTTGATTCTGAAACAGTGAAACCTCAAAAATAACATTTTTTTTTCATGCCGAAGCACTAGGAAAATAATACTAATAGTATGTTTTATGTCCACTTTGTTTTTTGAGATCACAAATGGGCGTACATTTCCATATCAAAACTGCTTTCATTAAGAAGCTTTACTGCTGGAGAAAGGAAGCCTTCCCTGGTAGAAAGCACTCTAACAGCAAAGACAGGGTTAGGTAAAGAGATGTCTGCATCCCACTACCACACCTTGGGTCCTTTCCCCCATCAGTCTACCTTTCATATTTATGGGTCATCTAAAACCCTATTACTTCTTGAATAGCCTGAATGGTCATGCGTTGAGTAGAATCACAGTGCTTCCTTCCTCTCCCTCTTACACTTCAGTTTTTCTGTCTATACCTTCACTTTTAGATCCTTGAAACTCCTGTTTTTAACATTCATTCACCCCTAACAGAAATATGACTACATTCGAATATTTTAACCATTTTATTTAAAATCATTTACTCTTTTGGAAACTTGAATAATTTCTAAATCAGGAAGATGTGCAGGAATAGAAAATAGAAAAAATACTGCAGAAGACAATTTTTTATGACCCCCTGTGGTTCATCCTCAGAGTGGAGAATTCTGTTTTCAATCACAGATAATCCATTGGAACACAACACCTTTTTTTTGAAATAGCAAAACAGCCTTTGTAATCATGATAGATATTTTTCAAAAGAATTAATATACAAATACTTGAATATCAGAAAATAAGGTAGAAAACTCAGGAGTGATGTAGACTTACAGTTAAACTGGGCACCAAATGGGATGCTAAGGAGGCTTCGTGAGACATAACAGCCTTTTTATCATGGTCACTGTGAGACCCTGGGGAGTGCATCCCATCCAGCTGTAGTCCACAGCATGGAAGAAAATGCAGCACTTAGAGAGAGTTTAAAGGAGTATCAGAAATTTGATAAAAGGGGATGATAAACAGATCTCCTTAGAGAAAGAAAATCTGTAAAGTACCTAAGACACAGGGTCCAAGTAGATAAAGGGCTTTGCTTCCTCTTCTTGGAGAGGGAAAAAGATACAACAACACAACAAAGAAAAGTTGACTCAGTTTCCATTCTTTGGAGACTTGATTAGACAGTGAGCCAGAGAGTGCAGGGGGAGCGTTTCCGCAGCATTACTACCATGTCTGAAGAAGATACCTGTAGTGATGTGACCAAACTGCTCTCTGCTCATCATGCTGCCCACTTCCTATTCAGATTATTCTCTACTTCTTCTAGGGATGTGCCCCTCTCTTTACACAGCTGAGTATTATCAGAAGTAACCTGCCTCCTTACCTATTCACTGTTAACTCCAAAGTGGGCAGAACTGATAAACTCGGCTTGGAAAGAATTAATGATTTTTTTAAGTGGCAAATAAGTCCTGATTCCTAATTCTATTTTGTTTATCTTCCCAATGGATACTCATCATGACTTTGCAAGGTAGGATTTTACAAGATAGGCACTACTACTATTATCCTCATTTTACTAATGAGGAGACTGAGGCAAGGAGAGGTTAAGTAACTCGCCCAAAGTTGTAGAGCCAGCAAAGGTGGAGCTAGGACTTGAACCCAGGGTGACTGGCTTCAGAACCATTTCACCATAGCTACTGTATCATACTGACAAAGCTAGGTAATGACTGGGAATGGAAGGTGTCAACCACCACTATGCTTTAAGTCATTTATGCACTAGGCTTGTTGCTCCAAACGGACATTAAAGTAAGGGCAGATCCTACGATATGTGGGAGTTTGGGTCATGAAAGAGTTTAGTTTTTACAGCATTGAGTGCCAGTCCTTGGATGGGGCAAAATACTGAGAAATGTCAGGAAGAGCTACATCAGTTTCCAAGTATTAGGAAACCACCTGGAGATGACTCAGATCAGAGAAAAAATACGGGTCAAACAGAAATTGAGTATCTTGTTAATAATTTTGGCAAAATCAGATCAAAAAGCTGGGTTTTATAAATCAGGCAATCAGGGTTTTATATTCTCCTTGATTATGCTGGCTTTTGTATTCCATTGCTTTCAGAAGAAGCCCTTTTGCCTCTTCTGAAATACGAAGTAAGAAAGTTCATCAATTAACTACTTGGTTTTGAGGCCAGAGGACTTAACTGGGTAGAGGATCTTGGGTGATACAGGAGGTAATAGGAACAAGGAAAAGAAGGGGGTTTTGATTTTGCCCACACTTGAGCCCTAGAGGGAAAGCGGAAGCAACGGGGTCATAAATGGTTGTAGCAGAGGAGGTCAAAGTGGAGGAACCTCAATGGGAGAGGGACACTCTAGTCAGGGACCTGCCTGACCCACAAATCATCCTACAAAAGGCTTTGCCCAGAGCATTCATCTGTACCAAGCTTCCTTAGAGGGCACCGAGTTTTAGTGAGGCAAGTTGCTCTCTTTCACCTTCACCTGCCTGCAGCCCTTCATCAGAACTGAATTATATCGCAGGAACTGTGCAGTGATGATCTGTCTCCTCACCTTGTACAAACTGAGGAAGGAAATGAGTCTTCTGAACTGGGACTTTCTCAAAGATTAGGAACATGAAGGAGGAGAAACAAAGCTTAGAAAAACACCACTGGATGACAGGACCCTAAGCAGCCCAGCTTAACTTTAAAAATGGCGGTATTAGTTCTCTAAGATTGTTCTTTTTCAAGACTGTCAACTATTCTAGGTTCTTTGCATTTCTGTGCAAATTTAGAATTGACTTGTCAGTTTCTACACACAAAAAAAGTCATGATAATTTTGACTGAGACTATGTTAATGCATAGATTTGAAATTCACAAACTTTTTCATTTGAGTCAGATCGTAAATATTTTAGATTTTGAGAGCACAAGCAGCCATAGGTAATATGTAAGTTAAGGGAAGGAAATACATTTTAAATAGCTTTCACTCCACAGAAAAAGCAGTGAACAAGATCATGGTTTAGGGTATGGCTGTGTTCCAATAAAACTTTATTTAGAAAAGCAGGCAGTGGGCTGTATTTGGTCCATGGGCCATAGGTTTTTGACCTCTGTTATGGACTAATTGGCATATTTACAATATTGAATCTTCTAATCCATAAATATAATATATCCCTCTTTTGATTTAGGTCTTTTTTATTTTGACTCAACAATATTTTATTGTTTTCAGTATACAAGTATTGTACACTTTTGTTAAATATATACTTTTTTATGTTTTGGTAAATGGGCTCAAATTGACTTTTTATCAGTGATACCTATTTCAGGCAGTATAGGGCTTATAATGTTTTCTCTGTTATCAAGGATACAACTAATATTTTGTTACTAAATGATGTTCAAAAATAGAACTAGAATAAAATTTAAATCAATCTGGACAATCTACCTTTAAAAGCACATTGACTTTTTCCCCTTAAATTTAGTGCTTCCAAATGAAGACTTTTCTAAAAAGCAACTCTGAGGAACAGAAACTGTAGAATTAAAATTACAAAGAATCGGCTCTCCACAAGTTACCTTAGGTAGGGCAAGAATGTCTCGTTTTTTAAGAATGGCTTACTAAAAAAAAAAAAAAAAAACAGATTTACCATCATAATTATACTTTGCTTAGAACAACCTTAAATCAGTTTTTGGACACTTATTTGCTTCTGGGTGGCCAAGAAATTAGGTCTGGGGTTAAAAATGCTACCATTAAAAGTTCTCAAAAAGTTCTCAAAGTACAAAGCAATCAACAATGAAAAGTGCCTGGTGCTGAGTGTGAATGTAAGCACAGAGGTGAAGAACATGGGCTTTGGTACTCACCTTGCCTCTTCTGCACTCTGAGACCTTGGGCAAGTCATGCAGGCATTCTATATCTCAGCTTCCTTGTGTGCAAAATGAAAACAATGTCACCCATTCTTGATATAGAAGCTGAAGAAAGAAAGAAGAAAGAAAGAAAAAAAAGAAAGAAAGAAAGAAGAAGAAAGAAAGAAAGAAAGAAAGAAAGAAAGAAAGAAAGAAGGAAGGAAGGAAAGAAGGGGAAGGGAAAGGGAAGGGAAGGGGAAGGGAAAGGGAAGGGAAAGGAAGGGAAAAGAAAGGAAGGGAAAGTAAGGGAAAAGAAAGGAAAGGAAAGAAAGAAAATAAGGAAGGAGGGAGGGAGAGAGGGAGGGAGGGAGGGAAGGTGGGAAGGAGGGAAGGAAGGAAGGAGAAAAGGAAGGAAAAAAGGAAAGAAGGTAGTTACCTATTTCACAAAGTTGTGGTGAGTATTAAATGAGATGTGTATAAAATTCTTCTGACAGCACTGGGACACAGCAAATGTTCAATGAGAGAGACTATTAGAATGTTTCCATTTTTATGAAGATGAAATTGGTGATGATTATGAGGTTTGTTATAAAGCTTATGTATGTAGCAAGTATGTTCTAACTTCCTCCACTCTCAATATAAGCAAAAAAAACAAAAAAAAACAAAAAAACCCAACCTAATAAATGGCTCAGGTTCCAGTAGTCAGCTGGAGAAGGGGGAGTAGAAATGGGAGAAATTGGTGGTGTGGAAACAAATAATAATTCCTCCTCACCAGTCATCAATCTAAGAAAGGAAGGCCCAGAAAAGAACACTAAGGTCCAGCTCTGTGACTCTTTCTATTCCATTACCATAGAAACAGAATCTCCCTTAAGGGTCTCTGCTTTTGGTCTTTCAGATCCCAAATACACTATTCTCTGTTTCGTGCCAAGGCCCAAAATGAAGACTCCGAGATTTTTCCTTAAAAAATACAGCACAGTGAGCTTCCCAGGAGGTAGGATCTCCCCAGGGGGAAGTGGTTTACCTTCCAGTAAGACCAACAGTCAGCTGATCAGTAACATCCAGTGTCCAACAAAGACAAGAGGTGAAGTCTGAAAGAGTTAAGGGAAGAAAATACATTTTAAATGGCTTTTACTCCACAGAAAAAGCAGTGAACAAGATCATGTTTTATGTGGATAAATTTGGCCCCTTTTAACATGAAAAATGGCCCGCCATGCAGCATAAACGCTCTTTTGTACCATTACTTTTTAAAATACCCCATTTATCTTTCATTATATTTTATTATTGCTACATTTTATTATAAACATTATGAAGAGAGTCATTCACAGAGGAACAGAGTCAAGAAAGCAACACTTACTCGTGACAGACAGTGATGAAATGCTGATACCAACTGTGTGTGTGTGCATGTACATTTTCACATTTTTCTTTTTCTGCTTTCTCATGTTCTAGGTTAGATTTCTTTATGTTAAATTTCTATTGAGAAGCTTATTGTTTCTTTAGGACTCTTAGAGTTCTTTCCTCTCTAAGTCAAGTAATGTGCTAAGCATGGTGCCTGACACATTTATTTAAATTTTCTTCATCCGTTTGGCTTTCCATCATTCCATCTCATATGCACTCAGGTTCAAGTCAATAAAAATTTTGACAATGGCTACAAAGCACTAGCTCTTCCCACCTGCCACCTAACTTCCAGAGAACCTCAAAAAAAAGTGATGGTCATCTCTGACCTCCCTATAGTCCTGCAGGATTCAAAGATGGCACTCCTGAGTGTGCCATGTCCACATGGTCTATGAGTAGCTCCAACTTCTGCTGTTCTCTCAAGCCCAGGGATGTTTCTTCTGACTCACAGGCTGCTTCACACCTTCCAGACGTCTCTTATTCTGCTCCAGAAATGTAGGGCTTTCCCAGGAGAATCCTGAGAATTGGCTCCTAATCTGTTCCCTACAAACCCCCACCATCACCATTGGTAGTTATTTACTGAATGCCTACTATGTTGTAGACATTGTGCTAAGCACCAAGAACATCATAAGACCTATTTCAGGCTCTCAAGGATATCACAGAACAGTGGGGGCACTTGTGAAATCAACAATTGTATGACAAGATTTGTTATGTAGGAGTATGCATCTAAATATGGGTGGGAAGGAGGTTAAAAGAATGGTTCCCAGAGAAGGTGACATTGAAGAGACAATGTATTGAAAGATTATATAGATAATATAGGAATTAGTCAACTAGAAGAGGAAGAAACAAGGAGGATGCTACAGGCAGCGAGATCAGTATGTGCAAAAACATGGAGTAACCAAACAGTGGGGTTGGTTTGAGGAAATGTAAGAAACTCAGTATGACTGAATGAAGAGGACTTTAAGGAGTGGAGGGAGATGAGGATAACATGTAACAGGTTGATTGCATGACTTAAGGGAAGTAATCATAGACAACTTTATTTTTCCCTACAAATGACCCTTCCGAATTTATTTAGTGTGGTACTTTTCTCCCGCTCATGAAACATGTAAATCTGAAATCATGATTTCATTGCCTACTCATTTCTAGTCAAAGGACGATCTTAAAGCCCTCTAAGTTTCCAATCATAATCCCTATTAGGAAATTAAAAAGTCTAGTCCAAGCTACTTTCAAAGACTTTAAAATTCATTGAAAGGTGGAACTTCTCTGCGCTTATCATGCTAAGGCCTGGTTAATAGCCGCCTGCCTCTGGCAACATGGGTGTGATTGACTTCAACTTTCTCTGCATCCCTCCTTCTCCCCCATTTATTAGTTACTGTTTCTGGACCAACCAGGATGTAAAAAGATATGGGAGAGAGAAATAAAAGGATAAACCATTTCTAACATTGCCAGGTAGCATTATACATTTGCTTTTCAGCATATAGTTAATGCTGACTCTGTCTTATGGGGCATTTTCATGGGTTCTCTGGATGTTTATGTTCCTGGGGATTCCTCACTATGTTTTCTTAATTCAGACAGATGTAAGTCTATTCTTATCATCATTTACAAATCCTTCATCAGTCCTCAGAAATTCAGTGTTTACCTTGAGCTACTTGCCAGGGTCCCTCCAGCCATGTAGGTGATCTTATTGGACAGAACCTGAGCCAGAGCCCACTGGCTAGTCCATGGTACATATACATACAACCTTTGTTCCTACTCTGTGAGTGCAGGTCCAACCTGTCGTCACTACCACTGCCCTAACACCACTAGTTAGTTTTCTCTGGGTGTGAGGGAGGCATCACCCCTGGGATATAGAGTATCTGAGAGAGCTCATGAAAAACATCCTATTGCCAGTTGAATCATGTCCCCCCAAAAGATATGCTAAAGTCCTAATCCCAGTACCTCAGAATGTGACCTTATTTAGAAGTAGGATTATTGCAGATGCAATTACTTAAGATGATGTCATAGTAAAGTATGGTGGGCTGTTTTTCCAATGAGTGTGGAGGAAGAAGGAGAAGGAGAAGAAGATGATGATGAAGAAGAACAGAAGAAGAAGCAGAAAAAGAAGAAGAAAAGGAGAAGGAGGAGGAGGAAGAAGAAGAAGAAAAGAAGGAGAAGGAGAAGAAGAGGAAGAGCAGCAGAAGAAGGAGGAGGAGAAGAAGAAAAAAGGAAGAAGAAGAAGGAGGAGGAGGAGGAGAAGAAGAGGAAAAAGAAGAAGAAGAAGAAGAAGAAGAAGAAGAAGAAGGAGGAGGAGGAGGAGGAGGAGGAGGAGGAGAGAGGGAGGGAGGATGGGGAGGGAGAGGAGGAGAAGGAGAAGGAGGAGAAGAAGAGGAAAAAGAAGGAGAGGAAGAGGAAGAGGAAGGAAGAGGAGAAGGAGAGAAACAAAGACAAAGGAAGGAAATTGGAATGATTCATCTCCAAGCCAAGGAATACCAAGGACTGCCATCCATCACCAGAAGCTGGGAAACAGACATGGAACAGATTCTTCTTCAGAGCTCTCAGAAGGAACTAACCCTGCTAGCACTTTCATTTCAGATTTGTAGAATCCAGAAATGTGAGAGAATAAATCTCTGCTGTTTTAAGGCTTCCAACTTGGAGTATCTAGTTACGACAGCCCTAGGAAACTAATACATATTCTCATACCCTTGAGTTGAGAAAAATTGCACACAAGCTCTCTGTCTCTCTCTCTCTCTCCTCTCCTCTCCCTTATTGGGCAAGTGGAGCTTAGAGCATAGAAAAAGCTCTCTCCAAGTTGCTCTCTTCACAAAATCCAATCTCTACTTTCTAGCCTTTTTTGATACCTTTGATCAAATTGAAAGGGTATAAGAATTACAGATCCAGTGGGCTTGAGCAGATAAGAATTCAAGCGCAGGTTGATTTGGGAGAAGACATCAGTGGGAAAAGGAGAAGTAAGATGAAAGAGAAGACAATAAAGGGTGCGTTATCAGGCCAGCTCCCATGTGGGGTGACTGGAGCTTAATCTCTTAGGGAAGCTCTGGGAAACAGTGTAAAATATACATCAGAGTTATCTCAACCCACCTGAGGGTCAGGGAACTGGGGTATTTATATATCAACTCCTTCTGTCATTGATTGAGAGCTGCTACCTTGGGGAGTGGGATAGAACCATTGGTGTGCTGGTAAATGTTTAACAACCATAACAGGGCACTTTTCATGAGGCCTCTAAGATAATCTGTACCTGAGGGGCACCCTTTGGCACTTTTGTCCTGGGAGCAGAGTAGCCTTCTGCAAGGATATGTAGAAAATGGTGAGGGCTAGAACCAGTGATGTGCTGGTAAATATTTAACAAACAGCTTTCTGGCGGGAGGTGAGGGAAGACTATCAATATATTTTTAAATATTAAAAGTATTTACACAAAAGGATATTATATGCTCTGATATAAAGGTTATGTATCACATAATTTATAAATAATAATAAGACACATAAAGCTTTTTATTATAAATTGGATAAAGCCAAATGATGTTCACAGAATACTTTCATTGCTTTTTTTGCTGAATTTTTGCTTCTGTAGCCAACCAATGATGAATGAGTATAGTTCTGATAAGAATGGTGGTTGATATTTTTATTATGTCAACTAAGTGAAACTGTGAAGATGTGTTGTAGGCATTTCTTAGGGAATGATGTCTTTACTGAATTAGATAATAGTTATGGAATACTGGAAGAATTTTACTCAAAGTTTTTGTGCTATGCACAATGTAATAACTACAGACATACTTTGATTTTAATCTGCCTTACTAAACAATGATAAGGCTCAGGGCTGTAAACCTGTAAATTTTCCAAAAATTAACCTGTAAATTCAATGCAATTCTGATGAAAGAAGCAAGATAATATATAATAAAACTAAACAATTCTAAAATTCATTTGGAAGTTTAAAGATTCAAGAATAGACAAAGCAACATTCAAAAAAGAGAACACTAAGAAGGAGACTAGTCCTGACATATAAATCTAAATCACTGAGACAGTCTGGCATTGACACAGGCATATGGATCAGTAGATTGCAAAACTAAATAGAGATGCAGAAGGCACAAGTTGTGTGATTTGTATGTGATCCAGGTGGCATTACAAACCAGTGTGAAAACGGTACAAGTGACTGTCATATAGAAAAAAGATGAAGTTATGTTCCTACTTCATAATATTCTAAAAAATAAGTTTTATATGGTTTGGATTCGGTCCCTGTGCAAATCTCATCTCAAATTGTAATCCCTAATCTTGAAGGAGGGGCCAGGTATGAGGTGACTGGGTCATGGGATGGATTTCCCTCTTGCCGTTCTCCTGATAGTGAGTGAGTTCTCATGAGATCTGGTTGTTTAAAAGTGTGTAGCACCTTTCTCTCCTCTTCCTCCTGTTCCAGCCATGTAAGATGTGCCTGCTTCCCCTTCACCTTCTGCCATGATTGCAAGTTTCCTGAGGCCTCCCCAGCTATACTTCCTGTACAGCCTGCAGAACCATGAGCCAACGAAACCTCTTTTCTTTATAAATTACCCAGTCTGAGGTGCTTCTTTATAGCAATGCAAGAACAAACAAATACAGAAAATTGGTACCTAG